TCGTTAAGTAGTGATTGATATCTTCACCATGCTAGGCTATCAGAGTGTCCCTAGGTGCTAAGCTAGTCCTCTCATGTTTATCCTTTCTCCTTGAACTAAGCAGCAACTTGACTTTAGGCATGAAAGGTCCCATAACAAATTGAAGGAGTCAACGAAGTATCAGCCATTGATGTTGAATTTGACATTTTGCTATGCTACCTACTCAACGCTCGACTTAATCATATGTCTTAAGCGCTTATTACCGTGGGCTCAATGCCTCAGAAGTCTATTTAGCACCCCACTTGTTACTGGACAGATGGCCGAGCGGTCTATGGCGCTACGTTCAGGTTATTCATTGAATCACCATTCGTAGTCTCGAAAGGGGCGTGGGTTCGAATCCCACTCTGTTCATGTTTTGCCAGTTCTGGCTGCTATAACATGGGCGTTCAGCGGGGTCGGTTCCGCTGTCTTGGCTACCGGAGTCTTCTCCACCGTTGCCGACCGGACGTCACCATTCATTGAGAGCATCAGGGAACCTCAACTAACAGTAGTTCTGACAGCAAATAAACTCAAGGCCGGATCTTTCAAGGAAACAGAATACTGTTTCAACATGACGGTGGTTTACCCCAGCGATGCATCATCGCATACCAGGCCAGAACCAGTCGACATCCTCATCCTCGGCGCCGGCTGGACCTACCAATTCCTCCCACCCCTGCTAAGCCAGCAAAACCTCACCCACGCCGCAACCTCCACCACAGGACGCGACAACACCATCCCCTTCCGCTTCGACCCCGACTCCGACGACGCCTCCCCCTACACCACCCTCCCACCAGCCAAAACCATCATCATCACCTTCCCCCTCAAAGGGCCCGGACAAAGCAACCTCCTCACCTCTCTCTACCTCAAAACCCACCCCCACACATCCCCCAACTTCATCCAGCTCGGCTCCACCGGCATCTTCACCACGCCCGGCTGGTCCAACTCCCGCTCCGACTACAACAAGCTCGACGTCCGCGCCATAGCCGAGGACGAACTCCTCTCTCTCGGCGCGCAGTCACACCACTTCCAGTCCGCCGTGCTCGACCTCGCGGGTCTCTACGACGGCACGACCCGCGATCCGCGACGGTATCTCGGCCGGGTGGCGCAGAGCAAGGAGCAGCTGAAGGCCAAGGGGGCGGTGCATTTCATCCATGGAGGAGACGTGGCCAGGGCAATTGTGGCGGCGCACGGGAAGTTCGAGCGGTTGCGGGGGAGGAGGTGGATTCTCGCGGATCTGAGGACGTATGATTGGTGGGAGCTGGCGATCCGCTGGGGTGGGCAGGAGTATGGAAGGTGGGTGGGGGAGTTGATGGGGGAGGAGGGCGTGGGGGTGTTGCCGAGGGGGACGGATCGGTTGGGAAGGGTGTTGGATTCGAGGGAGTTTTGGGAGACGGTGGGGGAAGCGCCCAGGTATGGGATTCCGGGGGGTGGGTTTGAGGCGCCTAGGGTTTGAGGTGGTGAGGGAAGGGCTTGGGGGAGTGTTACTAGGGGAGGAGAGATGGTTTAGACTGTGAGAGAAGCCAGGTTACGGTCTACTGAACGTCGCCGGCAGGATTGGTTTAGACTATCCAAGCATTACTACATGGCTACGCCTAGTATCCGTCCTTGCGGCTGACGCGATTCGTCAATTCCTTCCCTTCCGCCAACCGGTGGAGGTTCTGCTCCAGGATGGCCAACACTCTGTTCGTATACTCCGTTGAGGCACCGCTGATGTGCGGCGTGATGATCACATTCTTCGCCTTCCACAACGGATGCCCATCCGGCAAGGGTTCCGGGTCTGTGACATCCAGAGCTGCACCGCGAATGAGTTCCTTATTCAGGGCCTCGATAATATCATCCGTCTTGATAATTGGTCCGCGTGCAATGTTGGCGACGTACGTCTTCTTCTTAGACAAGACCTCGAACTCTGGTGCACCGAGGAGATGCTCCGTCTTCGGTGTTAAGGGGAGGGCTACCACAAGCAGATCAAGACCAGACGCAAGGAACTCGTGTAGTTCCTCCTTTGTCTCTCCCGAGAACCACTTCGAGGGGAACTGACCCTCTGGATCCCCCAATCCGGGCGGCGTGTAGGTGTCATCCCGCCTGGACTCGGGCGTGTTTCGCGGGTGGAGGGTGTAAGCATGAATATCAGATCCCATGGCCTTGAACACACGCGCTACCTGACGTCCGATAGCGCCATAGCCCAGAATGCCACTATTCTCACTTCAGTAAACTTTGGCCACGCCTGGTTTCAGACGGGGGCAGATGACTTACACCCTTTGTCCGACGGCGTCATGAACACCCTCCAGAATCCGGACCCACTTTCCCTCCCGTTGATTGTCCAAGTACCTCGGAATGAAATGCTGAAATGCTAGGAATGTCGTTATCACCCATTCCGCAATCTGCGGTCCATGAACACCATTTGCCGTGCAAAACTCTCTGCGGAACCTGTCAGTCTCACCGTCCTTCCTCGGCTCTTTCCAGACCACCCCACCACTTACACGTTAGAATCCGTAAACAACGGATGCTTCAAAAGCATATTCGCTCCAGCACTTTGAAGCTGGACATACTGCAACTTAGGCGCCACCTCCTTGTTCGCCGGGAAAGTGTTGCCCGTGAGTAAGATGGTGATGTCCTTCCAGTCCTCGTCTGCCCAATCGTCCAAGGTTTTGGTAGCCCATTCTGCCCTTCTATGCTCAATTTTCAGTCCAGAGAACTGGGATTTGAGCCGTTCGATCTTATCCGCTGGTGGATCGTCCCTGGTGACGATGAGCAGTTTATGGCCGTCCAAGTTCTTGTTGCCTTTGGTTGCGGGCGCGGCGACGCCACCAGACTCGTGGCCAGCTGAGTTGATCACCATTGTTGTTGGCTTAGGGTGTATGCTTAACGAGAAACACAACAATGTCCGTTATGTCTGTAGCTGGTTGTTTATATTCGCCTCGGTTCAATGTGGTGAGCCATGAGGAAGGTGCCCACTGCGGGTAGAAGTGGGTCTTGATTTGGCATCAACACCCCAGCGCCGTCATTGATTGGAGTGCTGATTTGACACCATTTTGGGCTTGAGTGGAGTCATCGGTCCAGCATCGGCCTACGCAGCAAGATAAGAATGACGAGGGTAAGATTCCCTTCTCTAACATGCAGCCGAGTTCCAGGCTGGACAGTATGAAATAGCTTATCTCTTGGGTGCTCCTCTGCAACAACACCACCGGCTTTAATCGGACCTGGTGGCGACATGTGCCATCGCCTCTACATACCGCGATCAAGATCTGAGATACTCACAAACACTCTTCCCCCAGCGGACAGCGCCTTTATACTTGAACATGCCCGGCGCATTCCCCGTCTTCAACCCGTCAATGGCATCCGCCAACTGCGGACCCAGCCCCTCATCCTTGATCTCCTTCAATGGGTAGAGGTACGTCTTGAACGAGAACAAGATGGCCTTGGTGTCGGGGAGTCTCATTAATGACTGGAGCTCAACTCGAAATCGGACCTGAACCCGTCAGCACCTACTGCTCTTGCAAAGGTAGGACGGGGTCGTTATCACCTACCTTGTCAATGTCAACCTCCTCATCTTGTTTGAACTCGTCCTCTTCATAGATATGTGTTCCAGCTGGGGTGTACAGCTTATCCTGTGTCGTGACGGACCACTTGCTCTCAGCAGTTAGTCTCATATCCATAACCCCTCAAAACTACAAATGTAGGTAGACCACTCACATTCAACCGCTTCACCACCCTCCCCGTCTCCAACTTCCCAAAGAACCTCTCCATACTCCCCCCAATCTTCTCATACTGCGGCACCGGTGTATGGATATCCCTCAGCAGCTTCCCTAGTTTCTTGCTCGGATCAAAACCCGCGGGATGGCAGCAAAGGAACGCGACTGAGACGTGGCCTTCATCCGTCTGCTGGAGGAGGAACATGTCGTCTTCCACCGTCTCGCCCAGGATCCTGAGTGCTTCCAAGGGGTCTGGTGGTGGCGCGGTGGGGAAGGAGCGGTCCGTGACGAGGTTGTGGAAGGTGGCTTTGTCTGTTGAGAGGGAGAACATGGTTGGGTACCGCGCGGGGAGGTAGGTGGTTAGGAGGTAGGTGTAGACTTCTGCCACGGCGGCGTGGCCGGAGGGGATTGCGCCCATGACGGTGGTGTTGTGGTTGGCCATTGTCTCGCGGCGTTCGATGACGCGGGAGAGGTAGTTGCTGTCCATGACGATCAGCTCGGAGGGGGTGGATGATTGGAGGGCTGAGAGCGGTATCAGCCAATGTCTGTTCATAGTAGAGGTAGAGATACTGACCCATTGTGATATGATAGATTGGCTTGAACGCCCGGAACTTGAGCGGCTCCATGTCCTTCCAGTCTTTGCCGGCGGTGATGGGAGGAGTAGACTCATTGTGCTTGCTGTCAGGGTTTGGAGGAGCTGAGCTCCCAGTCTGCGTCGCGATCTCAGTCGTGCTTGGTATGAGAAGTGCTGTCTTTGCAGTGTAACCACTTACAGGAGTCCGCCTCCATGTCAAGACGGGCAACTTCGAGCGACAGCTTGTCAAGACCGCGGTGACAATCGCAGCAAGAACGAGGTACAGGTAGAACATTTCTGTTCACTCCAAAATGGCACTTGCAACTGCATAAGCTAAACTACAGGAAAAGGAGAGAGTCAAGGAAGTGTATAACACAGACACATCACTCATTGTTGACTCACGATAAGGGTGGTGTGGCTTATCATATCTCCACCATGAACGGCGCGGGGTCGGACGCCTCCGAATCGTCATTTCGGCATTGTCCATTATTGTCCATTATCGTGGCTCCGAAAAGCACTGAAAGAAATACGGGACATGTTTTGATGAAATGACCATTTCAGCTAGAAGCCAGGGAGACGATACTATTTGATAAGTTTGGCTAATTTAGCAAGTGAAAGTGTGAAGTCCACCATGTCAATATTGCTTCCATCCCTTCATCTTCCGCCACTACATCGATGCCTCAAAAGCAGAACGTCCAAAAGAAAAACCCCACATATACCCGCTATCAGATTCGAACTGATGATCTTGCCTTGAAGAGATACTGTGCTAGGGATACTGGGAGGTATTCTTAGGGGACGGTACTCTAGACACGCTCTTACCACTGAGCCAAGCGGGCTCTTGTTGCTATACGGTCGGTCAATTCTAGTTCATATGTGCTCGCTCTGGGTCTTGGTATCTGATGTTTTGGTAGGTCTTGCAGCAGAGGCGCAGCTTGGGGGTTTGAGTGTCCGGATACTCCCGCGAAGTCGGGAAGTCTTCGGTGAGAGGTCACAGTTCCGGTGAGACAATCGGGCATGTTGTGAACAGCTTGAAGGTGCCGTGGTTCGAGGTCAATCACTCAGGTCTTGGGATATTCTTTATACCTACGAATAGTGACCGGGTTCCTCAGTGTTTAATAGGCCTGTCCTCGCCTTTTCTGTCGGTAATCCAAATTCTGCAAACCCAATTTCTCATTAACTGCTTTACACACATCTAGTCATAGGGTTAGCGAGAGCAAGCTAGGACAGGTGGGACGACAGCCTACCTTGTGACCATGTGCCCAAATGAAGTCGACTACTTCATATCGCGAGGGGTTGTTGACGATGCCAGTCACACCGCGGAGCCACTCAGATGATATCCAATGCTGGTTTCCAGAAGACGAACTCAACCTTGCACAACCAAGCATGCACAGGGGAGTATTCGGGATGTAACTGTGCGCCATCGCTGCCGTCGAGAGGATTTGATGGTAGCGCTATGCTTAGGACTGATAGATGTGGTTGTGGCTTGATATGCTGGGTGTGTTTCTGTTCCACTGCTCGTTGTTATGGGAAAGACGTGGACTGCTCTGTGAAACGGGGTTGGAAACCTTGAACGTCGTGTCCGTACTAGTTCTTCCAGAGGCACAAAGCGCCGTAGTTTTCCATCCTCGCTTCCATCAAGAGTGACGGATATCAGGACTGTATTCTGACCTCGGCACCTCCACAACTGAGCCGTTTGCTGAACCAGCGGTAACGGACCGAGAGTTGTGGTCGACGCCAGTCATCAGCGGATCTGAGCTATGTGAACCGACGGACGTCATGATGGCTTGCTCTGACGTCCTGTGATGATTCAATGGTACAACGTCTTACTCTGATCCACGACTTCGAATTCGATGGTCCGGAGGCCCACCTCAGATGAGGGACCTACCTGAGCTGGATGTAGCTTTGCAGGAAGCGCTGGTGGATGGTTGTTGACGGCATTATCTGCGTTCGTGCTTATTAGGGCCTGAAGCGCCGCCCAATGTTTCCGACCGTCGATCAATTTGAGCTCTTCCAGGCGGGCTGCCTCTTCCTGGGGCCCCAGGACCTCCAACAGTACGACCCAGTCCCGGCCTATGTCTGTCACGATGACCTGATATATCGGTGGCACAATCGACACGACGTCAGATGTCAGGATCTGACGGGCTCGTTCGCTTCCTTCGGTCCTTTGCACAGCTATTGCTAGTCGAGCCTTGCGCAGCTCAGTCTCAAACAGCACCTCCCGAATCTTGAGCCAGTACCAACGGATCTTGTTGTCTGCTAATTCGCAAGACAAATTAAGCTGGTCCCTCACGTCCTCTTTCTGTTGTTCAAGGGTCTTGCCACGAAGCTGAACTGCGAACCGCGCCGCTGCATCGTGGGAAGAGAGATTGGACGCCATGTTGGTGGATAGCTCGAATGGTTGTAGATGTATGGTTGACGTTGCCGTGACTTTGGTATCAAGCTTGGGGATCATGCAACGAATCCGAAGTCTAAGAGGCCAGAGACTGCTGGCTTGTTATGGCAGAAGTCAGTCAACCTGTAGGTAGGTAGTCGACCACGACAGTAAGAGTCACTGCCCATGCATTTCCAGGAATCGAATCTTCGGTTGTTGAGACCAGGACCTACCTCCCATGGCAGGAGCAAACCCTGCTGCACCCAGAGAAATGTTAGTACGAGGCGGTGAACGTGGCAATAGCGACCTACCAGGTGGGAGAGTCAGACTAACTAATGTCTAGATGGACGCTTTCCTGCTAAAAGTGAATAAACCTGATATGGAGGAACAAGGGTACGTTAAGAAGCTGCTAGGGAGTGAGGAGTGAAGCTTCCTTTGGGCTGACATTGTGACATAAAGATCATAGTATCCGGTATCTCTCGGTTAGGCTTTGCGCCAGTTGAGTCAGGGGCCATACAAACATCAAACGCTCTATACTTGGTCTATAACTTGGGTAGGTCGTAGCTCTTGGGGATATCAACGCTGCTTCCAAATCAGCTCATGCGTGCATTCATGGTCTCAGAGTCCCCCGTCTGGCATAGCGGAAAGATCGGTGTTATCCTTCCTCAGCATTGCCTCCACCTTGTCCAACACCTCCTTCTCGGTCTCCTCCATGGGCCTGTTTACATCCACGGTGATGCAATCGGGCTCCCCGTCCGGCCTCTCCAAAATCTCAAACTGTGAATGCACCAGGTTGGCCTTCGCATAATGCCCCTTCCGATTCGTAGCTCGCTCAACCAGGACCTCTTCTGGCGCATTCAGGAATATGAACCGGACGCGCAAGTTGTCTGCTTGGTTCGCCCCTTCCCGCAGCAGGTCACGGTACGACTTCTTCAACGCTGAACAAGTAATGACGAGATGTGGCGCCTTTCCTGGCTCCGGAGTGACAGACTCGTGATCCCGCAGAGCCGCAAGCCAGTCGGCGCGGTCCTGGTCTGTGAGCGCCTCCCCACGGCTCATCTTCTCGATATTGGCTTTCGGGTGGTACTGGACTTGTGTCAGTCACATGAAGAGACGGATGAATGGTCATAACTAGAATCACCTACATCATCGCCTTCTAAGAATGTCAAGTTCAGTTTCTCAGCCAGATACTTTGCGACGGTCGTCTTGCCGCAAGCCGTGGGTCCAGTGATGAACCACACATAGCGCTCTGTCTTGAGGGCGGCATTCGCGTCGCCGTGTGCAGCCGAGTGTGCGCCCACTTCCAATGGCATGATGCAAAACAACAACAAAAAAAAAACCGATATTTAATATATATCAGATATCTATGTGTAGCCTCTGGTCGAAGCAGCAGTAGCCAGGGTCCCTAAAGGATGTGCCTTAAGTGAATCAACAGGACCCCTGAGTTATGACGTCACTAACTACTTGTCATTCACCCGACAACCGGCCCTTGACATTCTCCATTATCATCATGACGTTCCCCAAATGACTCGAGGCTGAATCACTTTGAAGTTTCCAGACACGCGCGACACGCTCGAGCACAGAGGCCTGGTCTTTGTCAATATTGACTTTGACCGGGAGCACTATCACGATAAGAGCATTGGTCTAGCCGACAACGCCGATGAGGGGTAGTAGACACTTGATGCCACCATTATGCGTCAGCACGCCATCACGGACTTCCTTTTATGATTGCGCGATAATACAATTGAAGGAGTTAAGACGTGCTATGTTCCCAAACCAACAATGGAGATGCAACCGGCTTCCGATATGCTGGTGTTGAAGGCGACACGCTCACCCGCCGCTGCACCATGTTGAGCATAAAAGGGGCAACGTTGCCCAATTGTCACGGCCGAGACAGGACTTGATCAGCGTCTAGGATACTGGCCAACACGAATCCAACATGGGACGCAGCGACAGCCTCTCCGCCCGGCAGCACATCTCCCCCGACTCCGGGTATCCGGTGGTCCAACATCCGCTCTTCAACCCCAAGATCCGGGATCACGATCCACCCGAGCCACCCCGGAAGGAGATCTTCCCAGACAAAGACCGCGCCCACTTCGCCGACCCAGAGAAGAAAGCCCTGTTCTCCGTCGCCAAGCCGGTCGACCTCACCGAGTCCCTGGGCACCGTGCTCGAAGGCGTCCAGCTCTCTCAGCTCACCCCTCAGCAACTGGACGAACTAGCCCTCCTCGTCAACGAGCGTGGCGTAGTCTTCTTCCGTGACCAAGACCTCACCACCGAGGGACAGGTCAAGCTGTTTGAGCACTACGGCATCCTCGACCGCCATCCCGCACAGAAGGACGTGAGACATGTGATCATCCGCGGGAGTCAGGATGACCAACGGGACGTGCTGAAGTACACTCCCTGGCCCAGCGGTGATTTCCATGCCGATACCTCCTTCGAGATCAACCCTCCATCCTATTCCATGTTGCGCATGGAGGAGCATCCCGATGTTGGTGGGGATACGGCTTGGGTATCTGGGTATGGCCTGTATGACGCTTTAAGTGATGCCGTGAAGCGATTTGTGGATGGCTTGCACGCGGTCCATACCTCCCGGTTGCAATATGAAACCATCATTGATCTCTGGGGAGTCGGTCCGAACAGGGCGCCGATCGATAGCCATCATCCGGCTGTGCGAACGCATCCGGTTACGGGGCTGAAGAGCTTGAATGTCAACCCGGGCTTTGTGACAGCTTTTGCGGAGCTGAAGAGGGAGGAGTCGGACAAGTTGCTGGACTTTTTCAAGTATCACATTCACGCGGCGGATGACCACGCCGTGAGGTGGAAGTGGAAGGTTGGCAGTGTGGCTATGTGGGACAACCGATGCACAATGCATAGAGTTATTCAGGGTAACTACACCGCACCTCGTCGGGGTATCAGGACTACGGTATTTGGGGAAAAGCGTAAGTCTATCCTTAATCGTGGTGCGGCTTGGTTGGTCATGACTAACTAGACTTGTAGCATACTTTGACTCCAAGAGCGAGAGCAGAAATGAGAGGGCTGCTAGACTCCAGGCAGAAACGGGAGGTTTAGAGGAAGCAAAACCAGCTAGCGAGCCGGACGTCGTCAACACTCCGGCGTAGGCTTGGAGAATAGTGCCGTATTCATTCAGAACTCCAGCCTAGTTAAGTCATAACTCATTACATCAAAGCAATCTTCCCCCAGCGTCACCCATGATACACTTGCTTTCCTACTTCCTCTCCTGGGTATTCTGACCGCCACCCAGTCCCGCCAACAATCCACCAGCCCCCCTCAGCCCGTCACTCACTCCTCCAACGACGGCTTCTCCACCTGCCGCCAACGGCTCGGCAGCCCCGGGAAGATAACTCCCCTTGTCGTCCCTTCCCTGCCTCTCAGCACGGGTGAACCCCTCTCTGGACGCCATGTCGCCGATCGGCTGGGCTATCCCGCCTTGACCGACCTGTC